GGCACTTAACACCTCCCTCTAGTGCCAAATTTATTTGTAATTCATAATTAATACAGTAGAGTCCCGAAAACTCGGCACTCGATAACTCTGCCACACCCTGGCAGGGTGAAAAAACCCTAGTTAATTTTCATAATAGACAGCTTTATGCCTCATAAAGTATTTTTCTGAGGTCTGTCTTATCAGGTAAATTACTGTACACAGTGTATTCATTAATTTTCATTTTCATGTAGTAAAGGCTTTATGCCTTCATAAAGGATGTACTTTTCCTTTGTTTAAGGGTATTTGGGCAGTTTATTCTCTGTTGTATTCTCAAGCAAACAATACATACAAGTACAGTACAGTATTTTCTGAGAAAACACTCGTACTTATTCTTATTTAACTCCATTTCCGATAACCTGGCATTTTCACAAACTTGGTCACCCTTTGGTCCATATTAGGCCGAGTTTTCGGAACTCTACTGTATTTCCAAATTATAGCTTGATTATTTATGGCAATTGTGGGTGTCTGTTATGCACTGTTGAGACTAAAATTGCATAATATAGTTTAGGTTACTTTAGTAGGTCAAACCCTTACTAGCTAACCTCACACTAATCTGTCAACCCTAATACCTTGTGGATTGTGTGTGAACGTAGTATTATAACCCGTTCACACACAATCCACGACTCACTTTGATCTCGATTTAACTACAGTCTGGATTGTGACTGTTGCCAGTCGAACATTGTGTTGTTTGCAGAGGCAGTCTGCTTGAGAAGAACCCAGCTATTACATGCAATGATAAAACTGACATAACTAAACTATGTGGTAAGTCATGAACACAAACAAACAAAATGGATGTTTTTGGTTAGAAATAAATACAGTATTTTTTCTTGCCATATATCTATTAATATGCAGATGTCATTGTCTTTCCAAATACAGTATCTTTTTAATTTCTCTGTCGATAGCCCGACATGTGTTCCACAGCATCTTGTATTTTCTCGTGTGCATAGAATTGTGGGATCTCTCTTATAACTGTATCTAGTTTCAAGAACTCTCGAGTCAATCGCAATTGAATCTCGTTTCAGTTGAGAGAGGTCGCACCATGGCATAGTTGCCAAAGTTGCCAACCTTGGTCACAATCTAGATCGAAATGCTCAGTGCAAACGTGGTATTAGAGACTGTCCACTGGATTTGATGCTAACAAGAGTATACTGTATTTCTGTATGAAAAGAACATTGTTTTCAAATGTTTTTTTGATTAACCCAAATGTTTACTCTTATTTTCTAAAATAAAATTTTAATACAATTTTGTATTTAAATTCATGATAGATTTATTTATATTTATAATCACATTAAAACTAGGAATTAGTGACTAATTAAATTAATACTTAGATAGGATCTAAATCTTTCACACACATTTTCAGAATATTTCTCTAAATTCTATTTTATTTAATCTGTCAATTTTTTACAAATTTTTAAGTAAAAATTCATATATTGTAAAATTTTAAGTTTTCCCATTAAATCAACCTACAGAAGTGTCAAGAATCCAACAAACATTTCACACAAACATTTTGCTGGATTCTTGGCTTTTGAGTAGGCTGATTGATTACAATTTAATCAGCATTTGGCTGTTGTCTATTTTTTCATTTGCTTAATTATTAAAATTGGTATATTATTAGTATTTATATTTAAATGTAATCAAAATAAAATTTTATAAATTTGTTTTTCCATCAGGTTAAAGCATTCAAAGAGAAAATTGAAACAGAAAAAGGAAAAGATTATCCAGCTGGTTGTCAGAAATTGATATATGCAGGTATGAAAAAATAGACTTTTAATAGAATTATAGTGTATTTTCAACTTAATTAAATTATTTAATTAAAATTATAATTATTAAATTTGCCATCTTGTAAATTATTAAATTTACAAGATGGCACCTAACACTTCCATCTAGAGTCAAATTGTTTGATAATCTATTATTAATATAGCTGTTATATAGCCCGATGACATATGGCAGTTGTTGGCTTTATGATAAATTTTAGTCTTCATTTATATGACTGATTGTGTAAACATTTCATATAATTCAAATATTCATTTGCATTTACAATGAATTTTACCATTTAAATTGTGGGTTAGATGTAGTTTTTATCCCTTAAAGCATAAAACAAAATTTCTTTTATTTTTTCACATTACTCTTCAAGAAAATATTTTAAATATTTAGGAACAATGAAGAATAATAAAATACCTTGTACTATAGATTATACTTTAATGGCCTTATAATCATTAATTATCATCTATAATTGTAGTTTTATGTTACTTACTAATTTATTAAAATTACTGGCTGGTGTGTATGTGTAAATGTGTTAAATCAAAACATGAATTCATTACATGGTAATTTGTTTAAGAGTTCTTCATAATTAACTTTTGTAAAATTTGATGGATTGGCAATGACAGCACATCACTTTTATCATTGAATTGTTTTTAGTTGGGTTTTACTCTATAAATAGCTGCTGTTATGTTGAAAAAGAAAATTGCAAGAAATTTAAAGAATATAGTAATTGTCAGTATGTAGTGATACGGACTATCGTGGAACCTTATTATATAGCTAATACAATAATTTTAAAAATAAAAATGTACATTATTGTAATTACATTTTAATATGAATGATTTGTCTCACATTGAAGTTAAGCAATAAAAAGTAATAGAAACAAATCATTTTGTAATACGTGTTATCATTTTGAACTTTATGAATTACAGTATAAGAAAAGTAGTAGTATGTTCACTTACAGGTTTGCCTTAAATAATGCAGAACCTTGCTTAATCTGGGCTTGAATAATTTTGGTTCTGCTGTATATACTTCAAAATTCAGTCTTTTAGTATGTATAACTTTCATTACTATGAAGTGTATTTTTAAATCCATGGATATTAAGAAATCTACTTTTTTTGTGCAGGTTTTATTATACTGTTTTAAAGTTATCAGAACCTTTATTTAACATTTTCTCAGACCAACAGATTTCAATCTAAAATCCAGGCAAAATTAGAATAGTGTTTTGGGAAAATGATAAAAAAAATCAGTTGCAATGATTTAAATTAATATTTACATCTCTTATCTAAATTAATAATTTAGATAAAAGATAGTGCCTAACGTCTACTTCTAGTACCAAATTACTTAGTTTCTAATTATTGGGTTGTTTGGAAAGTAATTTTGTTTCTTTTCCTTGGGGAAAAAACATAATATTTTTATAATAAATAAATATTTTATTGAATTATATATTGATCATTTTGGTCAAATACCTGTTGCCATCATTTTTGGTAGTAGCATGATTCCACGTTTATAAAAGTTTTGATGTTTGCTTACAAAAAACTGATCCAAGTGATTTTTGACATTGTCATTTCAAGTAAAGTTCTTACAATTAAAAAAATTTGCATAGACTGGAACAAGTAATAATCTGAGGGTGCCTGATCTGGCGAATATGGTTGGTGTGATAGCACGTCCCATCTAAGTTATAACAGTTTCTGACGAGTTACCAAACTTGTGTGAAATTTGGCATTATCATGGTAAAACACTACACCTGTTTTGTTGATCAATTCTGGCCGCCTTTTCTGTTTTCAATTTGTTTACTTGATGGTAGTACACTTTCGAATCAATTGTTAAATTGTCTGGTAAAAGTTCAAAAAAAATTTTTCCATAAAATTCCACCAAAGAGAGCATTTCTCTTTAATTAAGAACATGTGGAACCCATATATTGAGCTTTGAAACGAAACCAATTTATTTCAAGTAATCATAAACAGTTCAATTTGACAAATTTAATCTCTTAGTGCTTTCACGTGTTGTTATTCGGCAGTTTGCTTCAATCAGTGCCTTTATTTTGTTTTCATTGGCTTCAACTGGCCATCCAGAACGTAGTGCATCTTCAATATTGAAATTGCCAGAATGAAATTTTGTAAACTAGTTTTGGCACTGTTTTTCTGTCAGTACATCTTCTCCATACAGGTTGCACAATTTTTCTCTTGCTTGAACAGCATTTTAAGTTTTTGGTAATAAAAAAGCAAAATATGCCGAAAATGATGCTTTTGATTTTCCATATTTGATGAGATACCAAAAAAGAAAATTGTACAGAATCAAACAAAATTTTTTACAAATAAGCCTTTAAATGTCAGCTGTCAAAATATATCAATATAATGAAAATGGGGTTTAAAATGAAATTGGCTGTTAAAAACACATCTAATTCTTCTAGTAATAAAAAATGAAATTACTTTCCAAACAACCCAATATATTATAATAATAGCAATCATTTGTTGTAGTATTCTACTATTCTATGATGAGAATGAATGGAATGACGACAATAATAATAATTTTAATCACAAAACAGAAGATTTTTTTTTATATTGAAAGTTTGTTATATTTTGATTAAATGTATAAGTTATGGCTAAAGCCCATGAATCAGATAAAACTAGGATTAATTGACTAATGCTAGCTTTATCCAAGCCTTTTGATTAAAGTAAATCAATTTATTAATTTTGAACTTTATTCATAAAGTATGCTTTATCCAAGTTACAAGCAGATAAAGCTGACATTATCCAAAAATGGATGAACCAAGAACAAAAACTGGACTTAATCTGGAAAATGTAAAGTCTATCTACCACTGTGTGGATAGAACTGAATATAGATGCTGCCATTCTTTGGGTATGAGCATTTTTCATTGAAATGTTAAATATTCTCAACTAGTGATGGTTAATCCTGAAATGCATATCAGAACTTTAGGAATTCTACAAACAGGGTAATTTAGAAAGGATTTTACAACTTTTAAAGTAATGAAATTTTAATCAGATTTACAGAATTAGTTGAGATGTTAATTTATAGCAAACAGTTTTATCTTGAACAGATGAAGTCATTTTGGTTCAATGTGCAGCACCATTGATGACCATATCAGTTTCTGTCTGAATTCAATTTCTTGACAAAGTCAAAACAATAAACTGCTATCACTTTGATAACTGTGACAGTGATTAGAGGTTTGAACCCAGCAGATTTTTAGTTAAGGATGGAATAAACACTAAGAACTTTAATCAAACCATGCACAAACTTAAACACTAAATCATAAGCTTTGTACTGAACTGGAACTATTTAATATATATAAGCACACAATGACACCTTTCGTACTTATTCCAGCAAATTATTCAGTTGCTGGAATAAGTACAAAAGTGTCATTGTGTGCATATATAAAAATACTAAATCTTTAATGAAATCCAGAAGAAAAAAATAGGTGTCAAATCTGGGAAAGAAATGACTTTGCTATTGGTCCTGTTCACCGAATGGACTCTTTTCCAGAGTCCATTGGTCCTGCTCACCAAATGGACTCTGGAAAAGAGTCCATTTGGTGAGCAGGACCAATAGCAAAGTCATTTCTTTCCCAGATTTGACACCTATTTTTTTCTCAATAGATTTCCTCAATAGACTAGAAAAGTCTATTGAGGAAATCTTGACATCTGTACAGTAGTGGAATGGTACTTCTTACTGAAAGTGCATGTCTTTTTGTGTCATTGTTGTTTAACTGTTGAATGAGAGACTCTTGTAGCAAATCCAGATCAGATATACAATATTGTCAGTTTTTTCCCCCCACTCATGAAAAGAGAGGGCCATACATTCTATCTTTGTTAGGAACACATTCACTTTTGGACTGACACAAGCAAGTTCCACAGTTACTTGTGGACTTTTGAAGCCCCAAATTCTTCCATAATAGGTGTTTGTTTTATCACTGTGATGAAATGTCAACTTATCACCAAAGATAATGTCTTCTCTTTCTCACTCCAATGCATGCATTTTAGCAAAGAATTTCTTATATCATTATATGCATATTAGTAATGTTTTGTGACATTGCAAATTTTTATAGTTTTAAGTGAAAATGTGTTTGTAAAAATTACCAAATAGTTATGAAATGCCAGTTTTGCATTTTACAAAATGATGCATTTTGCATTGATTTCATAGGACTACAAACAAAACTCATCCTTAGAGGAATTAGAAACTCATAGGCAACTTGTCATAGCAAAAAGAATAACTAGGGTCAATAAAATTTCAGTATCAGTTCAGTATCAAGAGTAAATTATAGATCTATTTGGAGGATCCCTGCAATTTTACTGGTTGTGGATTTTATTTTCTTGAAAAAAGACAAACAACAAATATATTCTACACCAATTTTGAAATGTACTGTACAGTACATCTCATTGACAGAATTCAATTTAATAGATAAATTTAATTTTTTTGCAAATTAATACCTCAAGTGATTCTGTAAGTCTTCTGATTAAAAGTCTATATGCTTTCAAAGTTTTAAATCCCTTTTGAATCATCTTGTACATTTTTTCAAGTGACAATGTTTTATTCATGTTTATTTTTCAATGGCCTAATTATAATATACACTCATGTTTGTGAAAATTGCAACACCATGAAGGAATTGTCAGAAATTAATGAAATTTATTCCACATATTACTGATAGTGGTACAAATAAACAATCAAATTTACAAGACAAAAAACAAAAAGAACGTCGGAAATCAGTACTTTGTGTGTCCGCCATGCTGAGTGATGATAACCTATACACATCGTGGCATTGAATCATGCAGGTTCTGAATGTAATCCTGGGGAATGGCATTCCAGATGGCTTCAACTTGATGCCAAAGTTCAGTCTTATTGTGTGCCCCACCACCTGTGTGAGCGAGTCGCCGACCAATGAAATCCCAGATATGCTCGATGGGCAACATATCCTGGTAATAAGCAGGCCATGGAAGAAGCAAAACCTGTTTTGCACTGAAGAAGGCTTGTGC